TATCATTATAGGATTATCTACCTATAAATTTTAATTTCGAGAATTTAAAATGTCATTAACGGATTACCTGCTACCTGTTCTGACCCTGCAATTAAATTGGGTCTCAGACGCAAAATGAACACAAGATTAGATTGAAAAATCTTCCCTTTTTCAAAAATAATTAGTAGAGGCGCATATTGTATCCACCCGTGACGGTATTTGCAACCTATTTAAGCACATACACAAAATAATTTTATTTTGTCACTTAGTGCCTTTGGTACGTCCACGCTTCAATTAGTTTCATATGTGTAAACATCTGAATATTTGCCGTCTAAATTCTTATAGATACTGGGGATTTTGTAAATAAACTTTAACTTAGAGTTTCTAGTTTACTTTTAAACCATATCTTTAATACCTACGACTTTAAAAAAAACGTTTTAAAATTTACTATTTATATAAATATTCCGCAAGGCCTGTTTAAGTTTTGATAAAATAAATAAAAATAAAATATAATGCAATAAAATAAAAACCCTTCCCTCCGACCATGAAGTGCTATCTGTGTATCGAAGTAACTGCGTTTGAACCTGAAAAAGTGTTGAACGACATGCCCGTTCGTTCGCGTTGAAAATATCGCCTGTGAATTGGAACTTGCCGTACGTTAAGTTTGTCTGACCTAATCTCGTTCGCATTAAATAAGGCCCGCCCTCAGTTTCGATAAAAATTTTGAGGTTACAGCATTTCTCAACGCCGCTGTACATAGAGAGCCGTCTTAAACCGAATTCACTAATAATACACGGAGATAAAGCGGCTTCCGGACAGCTTATATACAAAGGTTGCTTATTTCTTTCTTCTCTCATCTTTTCTCTTCACTTTCTTAGTACTTTTTTATTAATTAACAAAAGCATAGTTCCTGATAAAGGAAGCTACGCTACTAAATGCCGGTTAATTAATAAAAAAGGTACCCTACTCTAATTCTATCTCTACTATCCTATTTCCTTTTAAGTTTTTTCATTATTTTATTATTTTTGGGGTTTTTTTTGTTTGATATAACCATAGGGTTATAGGGGATTTAGATTGTTAAATCTATTGTCTAAATTATCTGTAGATAATTTTAGTATTTTTGGGGATTTAAAACCAATTATATTTAATTGATTCCTTTTTCAAATATATTTAGGATACCACTTCATGGTTTTAAATTAATCAAGGGGGTAATTATTAGTTTACCAACTAAGCTTAACTTTGGCTACATAATTTTAAGTTTCAGTTAACTTTCTGAATAAGTTAACCTTCTGTTAACTTATTTAGTTTTAATATTGTTATTTTTTCCACACAGGTGGATATAATTATCAGACTAAATGGTCTAGAACCTCGTTAAGGGTATATCGTTGGGGAATAATAGCATTCCTTCATTATTATCAGTCTTTTGGGCAATTTACGTAACCTCAGGGGTAGTAAAAGACGTCTTTTAACCACCATTTTTCTGTATTGCCAATATAAGTAGCTCACACACACATATGTTTCATTTTCATGCACTGGGAGTATTACCGATGACAAGTTAAGCCAACAGACCAGAAAAGTTTTGAAAGTTAGTCGATCCAAGTGGAAATCGAGTTCCTCAACATCAGAACGTCGGTGAATCTGCAACCCATAGAATTGAGAGACCTTATAGTGTACAAGGCTCCTTCCTGAATAAGAACCAAATGCACCACCACCTCGTTTGAACTTCTGAAGAGGCTCGATTACCTCCAGAACCAGCAGGACCATCCCTCAGCTTAGTCATCCGGTAACTTAAACCGAAACACAGCCGAGCTTACTTGTATTTATTTATGTACAGGTTACTTAAATTGCGAATATCATTTTTTTTTCATTTTTTATAACTATTTAATACCTAAGTTTTATAATTTTCTACATTTGGAACCTTCAGTTCAACTTTAACTATATTTTGTTCTTTTCCAGAACCCTCAGTTCTGTATTTGTCAATTATTATTATCTTATACTTTTCTACATTTGGAACCTTCAGTTCAACATTAACTATATTTTGTTTTTTTTTAAGAACCCTCAGTTCTGTATTTGTCATTGTTGTGGACAATAAAATCTAAATTGAATTTATCTGTTTTAATTTACCTGATATTCATTTGAATTTGAACTTATCGTATCTTATCTTGACAGTTGTCATAATATAGTTTTGTTTCCTATTTTGTTTTTCTCTGAAAAAGTATATTTTTTTTAATATAGTCAAAACAGGTGGCGCCTTGTTCAAATTCAGATAATCATAAAAGTTCCAAAATAAACAACTGAGAATTCACAACCCTGAGTATAATAAATTTTACCATTTTCCTGTATGGAAAATTGTAAAATCTTAAATTGAGCTTAAATCACTATAAATCTGTCTTCCAAATCAGACAATTCCAGGTAAAGGCTTGCATTGGCTTTCAATGGGCCTTAACACCTTTTAGAAAGCAATGAAACTGCTGCAATGAAGACGGGGAAATGATAAAACAGGCGTTTTTAGAAGCTGCTGATTCGTTATTTGCCAACTTTAGAAATAAAGACGAGATAGTTTCAGCTATAAAATATATGCAACTTTCTGCTAATACAGTGATGAGACGTGTAGAAGTAATGAGCAATGATATTTTTTTACAGTTAAGAACTGACTTAGATAACTGTGTTTATTTTTCACTTCAACTGGATGAATCAACAGATGTTGTTGACACTGCCCAGATGGTCGTGTTCGTCAGGATGGTTTTTAGTGATTTTACGATTAAAGAAGATCTTTTGAAGTTTATTCCACTGAAAGGACACACTTCTGGACAGTAGTTGTTTTCTCATTTAAAAAATATTATTTCTTCCAAGAAAATTACAATATCGAAAATGGTAGGCTTGACAACCAATGGCGCTCCAGCTATGGTGGGTTGTGATAAGGGTCTGGTGGCGTTATGTTGTAAAGATGAAACTTAAGCATTATGTGGAAATTTCCTGAAACTAAACAACGTTATGAAACTGGTGGTAAAATTGTAAACAAGATTAGAGCTCAAGCGTTACAAAGAAGATTATTGAAAAACTTGGCCGATGAAGTTGACTGTCAATACGGATACCTAATCCTTCACTATGAAGTCCGATGGTTAAGTAGAGGACGGGTGCTGAAACGTTTTAATGATGTCCTATCTGGCATAGTTCAATTTTTCAAACAACGCGATGAACCGACTCCGGAACTAGAAAATTCAATCTGGCTTAGAGATTTTGGTTTTCTCGTGGACATTACAGAGATATTAACGAACTTAATTTGCAGCTTCAGGGGAGAGAAAAAGAACTAGCGGAAATGATTTCTGATATAAAAGCATTTATCAAAAAGCTGGAGTTTTGGGAACAAAACCTAATTAACAGCGATGCCAAGCATTTTCCTATTCTTTCAGAAAAAATATCTCAAAATCCATTAGAACCCTATGACAGCAAATATCATGTAGAAATAGTTTCTACCCTGAAGAATAACTTCAAAAATTGTTTTAAGGATTTCAACGAAATGGCTTTAGTAGCGCAGTTTGTTGTTTCACCCTTTATGGAAATTGATATCACACAGTTTGCAACTTGTGTTATGCAGAACTTTGGCGAAGACATCGCTGCAACAGAAGTGGAAGTAATTGAGTTTCAAAACGATTTAGCCTTAAAATCGTTAGTCTCAAGTACCAAATGTATCTGGCCTATTGTAAGTAAAGACAAATATTCAGTTCTATGCCGTGTTGCCTTGAAAGTGAAAGCATTATTCAGTTCAACCTATTTGTGTGAATCTTCTTTTTCCAATATGAAGTTTATTTAGAACAAATATTTCAATCGACTTACAGATGAACATTTGGATAATTGTATTCGAATGGCTGTATCAAATTATACTGCAAACATTAAAAAAATTATCGATGAGTCTGAGTGTCACCCTTCTCATTGAACGTGCTTTTTTATTTTTCAATGTTTATGTTCATGATACTTTTTTGTTGTTATTATTAACTATTTTTAAATCTTACGTGACATGCCGTTGTGGCTGGATAAAAGTTTGTGTTATTTTTCAAACACCTTCGTTTGGTAGGTAGGAATGTAGCTATGAACAAGTACGTACTAGTAATATTAGTTATTTTGTTATTAGTTTATTATTAGTACCTGTAGTATGGTAGTGCAGTGTAGGGTACACTAAGTGTTACGGAACGCACCCAATACTGGGTTGGTAGCAATGCCTAGAATGACAGACATTCATTCAGGCATTGACATGGACAACGGTTAAAATGGCGGATTTCGAATAGTGAACAAGCCACGCTGGCTCACGGACAAAGAAACGAAACTCGTAGTGTTGAACCTAATAAATAAGATTGTAAATAATGGTAATGTAAATAATATTGTAAATAAAGTGTATATAGAAACACAGTGTCTATAAATAACATTACAGTACCTATGTATTATGTATTACCAGTTAAATAGTAAAATAAATACATATAATGATAAATTAACTGTGGATTATTTCATTTACGTTGCGTTACGTGGCTCCCGTGTGAGTAGCTCGCTGTTTATTCCAAAATTAACAAAGTAGCTCAACACATTGAGAGGTTGGCGACCACTGCTCTAAAGGATAAAGAACAATACAGAAATAAAAACAGGAACCTAGCCACCAAAGCCACACCTTCTTGTCAAAAGTGAACCATTTGATACCTTAATCGATTAAAACGAGAGATAAAGATACCAAGCTCCTGTTTGAAACGACTTAGACAGAGATCATAGATTTGTTAATTGTAACAGAAGAACGAAGCTGTCACTACTGTCTCTGTCAGAAAATCAATATTGTATTGCCTGTCCTATCTTTATTTGTCGTTTTGGATTTTTGGTTGTTTTTAGCGAATATTCTGATAACTTTTACGTTTTTGTAGTGGTTTATTTTTAGTTTTTGTTGCTGTTTTTAATTGTAGAGTGTTATAGGGTTATTTGGCAGATTAATGAACTATAATCTATAATCTAATCAGCAAGAATACTGGTATTTTGTTTACCTTGTTGCTATTTCGTAAATTTGGTACTTTGCTAATGTAGTATATTTAAAGACTTTTTTAATTTCACTGATAAGAAGAATATACTTTAGGTCGTTCGAAATTTTAAAGTCTTCTACTGCAAATTGGACCTGAAACAAATTAAAAAATTGTTGTATAAAGATAATTACGGTTCTGGACAAATGATGGACACCCAATTAACCATTAAAACATCTCCGTCACCAGATCACTATTGATACCAACGAGGCACCTATAGAAAGCTTCTAACAATGATCTTTCTGCTTATGTATACTCGTTGAAACTTCTACTCTGTCCCCCTATAGCAACCTCCATGTTTTTTACAATGGAACCCCCTGTATATTACCGCATTTTTCGATTCGATTCCAAAAATGTATATCTTTTTTTCCCTTTTCCCCCTTTTTTCAATTGTTTTCCTAAGACGTCCATCAAAGGCAGACAAACGATTGCCCCACATGCCTTTAATGCAACAAAGTTTTGAGCAAAGACTCTATGAAACCATCAAAGCTTGAAGATCATCTAAGAAGATGTCATCCTGATAAAATAGGTAAAGATTTGAAATATTTCCAAACACTAAAGGAAAAATATGAAAAGAAACCCACCGTGTACAGTGTGTTCTCTTCAACGATGATGGCTTGCGGGCATCTTACAATACGGTACTATATAGAAATAGAGGGTGAGACAAACCAAAACAATATAGAAAACAACATTTCAGATAAAAAAGAAGAAGGTAGTGAAACTGTTGGTGTTAGCGAAAGTGAGGATAAAGACACCACCACAACTGAAGATATTAATGAAAGTCTTGGTGGAAGTAAGGATAGTGAAGAAGGAAGTGTTAGTGAAAACTTACATAGTAAGGAAAGTCAAGACACTAAACCATATGCCAAAATGTCACCTTCAGATTGTAGTGAACCTGTGGCAACACACAGTACAATGTATGTGTAATGTATGTTACATATCATGGAGTTGATACGCATGGGTAACGTCCTGCGACCTGCTAGCCATTGAATAAATGTAGCAGATTGAATATCACAGACAGGGGAGATTTACGGTTATTCCTTACAAAACTCAAGCCAAATATTGATAATTTGTTGTCAGTCCATCAAGTAAGTCCTTCTCATTAAAATTATATTTTTTTGTAATTACCATTATGATATAAGTGTTTAATGTTAATTATATTATACCGTCTAATTTAGGGACACCCTGTATGTATGGAGCGGCAAATTGTTTGTTTGAGGCAGTTCTTGAGTTTTAGAATAAATCAGAGTTCCAAGCTACTAAAATTGATGGCAGTAACTCAAATGTTAAATCGTGCAGTTTAATCATTACAACAATCGATTTTAGAGACGCCGCATTTTGTTGGGTATTCAATATGTTTCCTGTCGGATATAGTGGTTGATTATTTTCCGATTTTCTATCAAAATAAATCTTATAACTCTCTAACTCTATCAACGTTTCACTTATTGAGTATTAATGTACACACAATTATCAATGAGTATTGTTATCGTCTTCTCTTCAGAAGTTTCTTGAAAAGTATTTAGAAATAATAAATATTTCCAGTTTATTAAGGAAGAATTTGGCGCCAGTCATTAATTATTCAAAAATCTACGGAAAATCAATTTAGCAATACAATACGAGAAGTGTATAGAATTTTTTTGAGACACATTCAATAATTTATATTAACAAAATATGAAGGAATTAATTCTAGACGCCTGAATTCTAACAGTCCAAGTTAATAATTTAAAACAAACTTTTATCAAGTTATAGGACCTTGAGTTTTCCGTTACGCTGCCAGATTTTATATCTATACAATAAAGAACGTGTGGCTCGTGATCTTTTGTTCACTATTTGAATAGAGTCATGGCAGCAAAGTCTCATAACAATTTTTCTATATTACAACATAACTGCCTCTTTAATTTTGATGCTCTGTAACAATATTTTAGACATGGTTTTATCCCAAGAGAAATCTTTATAAATACATAATTAGTTTTTAAATAAAAATAATTGTTTTTTACTTACAATTGTTATATTTGTTACAATAGTAGTAGACGTCAAGTTATCTGCATTGAAAAGCGTAACTCCTCCATGTTCGTCTTTATAAATAAATTCAGAATCTGTAACAAAAAAAACAAAATTTAAAAATATAAATCACTTCATTCAGAACAAGAATTAAATAAGTCGAATCAAAAACCTGTGTACTTCACAAAAGATTAGCGAGTACAAATTCACTGCACGGTGTTGCCAGCTGAAACTTGTCGAGATGTGATACTTATTATTCGGAAGTCAGAGACACAAAGCATTTATAGAGAATCTGGCAAATTGGCAATAACACGTGTTTATCCTATTGGCCATTTTCGAATAAGTTTGCCTCGTATCGTTAGAGTTGTGATTCAATTAATAAGTGTATTAATAAAATTATATATAAGTAAATTTATAATCATAAGACTATGACTATAACTAGGGTTGCCACACCTTTTTAAAAAGTGGATAAAGGACTATACGATGCTGACAGGAGTTCCAATATATAAAAAGTCCTTATCCTTCTACATTGTACTTCTAAAGAAAATGGTCTACTTGATTTCACCGACCAATGACCTTTCTACAGGAAGTTGCATAAAAAAATGGCTTTTGTTGAATATTTTAACTGTACATCCTTTTTACTCCCCCTGTATATGATGTCTAAACTATGTATATACATATATAAGCTTGTTAACCTTCAGATTTTGATTAGGATGGAGTTATAAATTAATTTTGAGATATGCATAATAAAAAAAATACAAATCATTGACATAAAACTTTTAAATGTTGTAACAAAATTAAAAACTTATAATGTTTGTTTTTGAAATAAAAATAGGAATAAAAAATATTTCCTTTTACCTTTCTTTTCATAAAACTCCAAGATTTACATTCTGCGAAGAAAATGTAATATAAATTTGTAAGTTTTCTTTGTTCAGATAGATACTCTAAAGAAAATAAAATACATACTTTAAAAAACCAAACTAGTCAAATAAAAATCGTTATTGAATACCTACATCATCACATCCCATAATTTAAAATCAAACGAAGTTTGGATAGGCATCTCCAATCGATAACCGTTTCTATAGCAACGGAAACTCTAAAACTCAAAGTATAGTGATAATAATACTGATTTATCTTTAATGTTGAGTATTTTTCATAGTATACTTATTTATTTTGTCTCTTTTAAAAAAGCATTGATGAATAAAAAAATAGTATATTGTTTACCAAGTAGGAAAAGTCTTGGACGACTGTTAATATTGCAAGTCAAGGCGCAAGCCGAGACTTAGCAATACAGAAATTTTGTTTAGAATATCAAAAAAGGTATATTCTTGTAACAAGAATATCAGAAACCTGAGTTACAGGACCTCTTTGTTTATAAAAAGTTTGCAAACCTCAAATGCCGTATTTGGCTGCTTTGTTTAGAACGTACTTTCAAAATATCAGTCTTCCAGTACCAAATATTTATTCACTCAGATCTTTTTTGTCGAATTGTATGTCTTCAGATGATTCTGAATCATTCAATACCTTTAGTCTGTCACTAAGATCAGGAGTAGAGTTATCAGAAAAGAGTTTATATATTGAAAGTTAATAAATAAATAAATAAATACAAGTCTAAGCCAAGAGCGCACAGTGTATATATATATATATATATATATATATATATATATATATATATATATATATCGTTATATTTACCTGATATCCAAGTTCCATTGAATCTGGCAGGCGGTGGAAGTTTTATAAAAATATCTTCAAGCGTCGGTTTGATCCCCTTTGTCCTAGGCCCTTCTTCAGGCGGCGAAACTAAGACTATACTGAAGACAATTAGGCCTAACACAGCGACGATTACTAGTAAGGCTATGAATATCCCTCTCCAATTTCTTTCGCTTGGAGAACTCACTACCAGTTCCTGAAACCAATAAAAAACATTAGTAATAATATTAAATAATATCGTACGTTGTTTGTAATAATTCATTCCTTTATTAGTAAATTTCCACCCCTTAAGTTGACTGAGCTTGTGTAGGGAAGGGGCGGCTATTATTATTATTTGCCGTGACGCTCTATGGCAATTTAACGAAGATTTGATCACTTGTAGGTTAGGAATACCCGGAAAACATCAGTATAGTTTGGGTTAATTTTAATTTCAATTTAATTCAATTAATTCATTAAAAGTGGTTATGTTCTGTTTTACAAGATGTGTGGTACTCTAAATTTAACGTTTTTATCTGCTTAAATAGGTGTTCTTTTCCATTATATTAGACTATAGTTTTTGTGGGAATAGATCTATTAAGAAAAATTTGCTTTTAATAATATAAAAAATATCGGTGGTTGACCACTGACCATTGATGATTTTTTTTTTTAATATTCTGTTGGTTCTGAGAACGCCAAAAATGGGAATTCAACTCACAACCCCGCCTTAACTGGATTAGAACGTTAATAGATACAGGAAGTAATAAAACCCATTACCAAATATTGAATAAACAATTTCTTAGATAGAATAGATTTAAAATGCTTCGCGTGATTTGTTTCACGGCACTCCCAAAAATAAGATTTATGATATTTTGTAGTGTTAGTATGAGAAAATTTCAAAAATATTAAGAAAGAGGATGATTTATGTTTCATTTTGATTTTAATTACAAAAATTTACTTACATTTTGCAAGCAATTTGAAAAATATAGCCCTTTAAGGTGGATATTTTGACACACATCCATAAAGACGGTGCAGATAACTTTTTCTTCTAGAAACTTCTCGACGATATCTGTGATTCTATAAACTTAGTCGATGGTGGAGGGTCGTTCTTTGAAGCCAAACTGATAGGAGGGTATTAGTTACTTTAGAGACCAATCTCTAATAAGAGATTGGTCTCTACGATGTTATAATAACCCCAAAAGCTGAGCTTGTTCGAAGAAATGGACGGCTATTATTATTATTATTTGCAGTGACACTCCGGGGTGACTTAAAGATGATTGATGGTGCCATTTGACTTAACTTTCACTTCTTTGGTACGTCCAATGGTTTTCAATATGACCTGCAGGTCAAAACGTACAATTCGGATCTAAAGGTAAGACTTTCAACTCTGTACCTTCACATTTAACAGAAGAGGAGAGACCAAATGCGAGTTTTAGACTGAATCGGTGGACTGTAGAGTTCAAATTTCATTAAAACGATGCCTTTTATCGACAAGATTGGTCATTTTGATGTTAGCTTCTTCAAAATTTCCTCAGCGAGGAGAGCTAACAAATTCAATGGCTTTTTTCGAATTTATTCATTACTTAAATTACTTTTTAGAGATGTTTATTCAATCGCTTTTTTATTTGCATTTATTCTACAGAAAAACAGACATTGGAAGTGTAGATAATTAAAAGTTAAAACAAACAAATCTCAACGTTCAAATTTAAAAATAGCCCCATGAATAATTATGTAGTAATATTTCTTACACTTCATTTGATTAGTGTAGATACAAAATTAGATAATATATGTGTCAGAACAAGCTAATTTTGTGCTTCTCTCTATTTTTGGAGTTGTGGGGTTAATATTGTAAGTATATAAAAGATTCTTACCTCTGCAAATGCATTTGGGGCAATTTTCACTCGATTTACAGGACTTTTAGGATTATTATTTGTATTTGTTGTTTTACAATTCGATTTTTCTTCTAACTTTTCTTCTTTCTTTTGCGTATTATTCATTTTTTTCATACAGTTCATTTCTATTTTGTTATTTAGTTCTGGCATTTTGATCGAATGTATTTATAAAATATATATTAGTTATTGTTGTTATTATTATTAATATTGCTATATATGACAGTTATTGGTATTATTCTAGTTAAACATTGATACAAAAAATACATTTAACATTTAGCACGTTTAAGACACTTTAACATTAATGGACATTGAATTTATTGTATTTTAAGAACATCAAACATTTAAAATACTTAAAGGCAATAATAACATTTGTTGAATAGAAAGAACAATGTTTATTGTTTATGTTTGTCCACGTTTCTTTATTCTGCAACCGCGTATTCGACGCGTATGTTTCTCGAATGTAACACCCAGACTGGAAAGCTTATTCCGAGGAAAGCCGATGGAAAAGCAGCTTCACGCAACTCCGGTGCTTACGTTCTAGCTGGTTATAGACTGGTAAAATTAGCTGTAAAATCATATTAACGGGGGGAAAATTATATGTACAGTCATTGTAGATTATATTTTATTGAAATATTTTTTTAATTTTTATTATATTCGTTTCTTGTATGAATATAGATGATGCAAGACCGTTGCAACTGTCTATGTAGAGGCGAAACAATAACTGTCTTCTTAAATGCTTCTAACCAATGAAAAATATAAACAAAAACAATCAAATCTTATCTTTTAAACATTTAATTTAAAAATAAACGTTAGACAAATTTTTACACATGTCAGTTTTATTATTTACAAAGTTTAATATGTGTAAGTGGAGTTATAATTTTTGCAGTCTATTTTATAAACTACATTTAGTTGATTTTTGTTTTTAATAAGTTGAAAACCATTGTGAATTGTACTAGACTGGCAACACTGGTTTGGCAACCTTGTTTGTGAGCGGCGCGCCAATTAATGTGTTCTTTGACAGTTTGAAGGATCTGTTGGCGTGTTGTCTTCTCTTTTTAGCTATGTGCGTTCGCCAAATCGTCTCTCTCGTCGAAAAACTGATCTAGATAACTCATTTTTGAAAAAGAATCGTATACTAATCTTCGAATAGCATTTAGAACATCTCAACAAATGTTTTTAGAAGTCTTGGTCTTCCATCAATACTTTTTGTACTAGATATTGTTCCATTATTGCGATATTATTTCAATACTCGATTAGTTGTTGTGATTCGAGAAATTTTAGATATAACATATTTTTTTATTCCTCTTATAAAAAATTGTTTCTTGAAAGTTAAAATGACATAAAAGTCAAAACTAAAAGTAAGATTATGTGGTGGTTGAAGGGCCCTTAGATGAATTGTATTTATAAAAGTTTGGTTTAAATATGAAGACTTCTTTAAGAAAATCATAAATTAAAATGTCATCCTGAATATAATGCTCCATTTAAAAATAAATAACATTTATCCAACATCTGCGTTATACATATCTAACTCTTTGATTACAAAATATCGTTGTGTGTTAGTTGTATATATGCTATTTAAGTTAACTGTATGAATGTTAACCGACGTATCAAGCAAAATAAAGATGTTTGTAGAATAATAATTCTGCACTCTTTATAAATGTGTTCTGAAATTTTGAAGTTTATAAACCTATTAGTTTCGGAATCAGGGATGAAATAAAGGTTTCAATATTAACTTTAACAAATGGGAATTTAACTTTAATATTCTCTAGAGAGAACAGCTGATGGAATTTAAGAAGTTTGTTTGTAGAATAATGATTCTACACTCTTTATAAATGTGTTCTGAAATTTTGAAGTTTATAAATCTATTAGTTTTGGAATCAGGGATGAAATAAAGCTTTCAATAATAACTTTAACAAATAGGAATTTAAATTTAATATTCTCTAAATTTAACAGCTGATGGAATTTAAGAATTTTGTTTGTAGAATAATGATTCTACACTCTTTATAAATGTGTTTTGAAATTTTGAAGTTTATAAATTTATTAGTTTTGGAATCAGAGATGAAACAAAGGTTTCAATATTAACTTTAACAAATAGGAATTTAACTTTAATATTCTCTAAATTTAACAGCTGATGGAATTTAAGAATTTTGTTTATAATATAATGATTCTACACTCTTTATAAATGTGTTCTGAAATTTTGAAGTTTATAAATCTATTAGTTTTGGAATCAGGGATGAAATAAAGGTTTCAATAATAACTTTAACAAATAGGAATTTAACTTTAATATTATCTAGAGAGAACAGCTGATGGAATTTAAGAAGTTTGTTTGTAGAATAATGATTCTACACTCTTTATAAATGTGTTCTGATATTTTGAAGTTTATAAATCTATTAGTTTTGGAATCAGGGATGAAATAAAGGTTTCAATATTAACTTTAACAAATAGGAATTTAACTTTAGTATTCTCTAAATTCAACAGCTGATGGAATTTAAGAAGTTTGTTTGTAGAATAATGATTCTACACTCCTTATAAATGTGTTCTGAAATTTTGAAGTTTATAAATGTATTAGTTTTGGAATCAGGGATGAAATAAAGGTTTCAATAATAACTTTAACAAATAGGAATTTAACTTTAATATTCTCTAAATTTAACAGCTGATGGAATTTAAGAATTTTGTTTGTAGAATAATGATTCTACTCTCTTTATAAATGTGTTTTGAAATTTTGAAGTTTATAAATTTATTAATTTTGGAATCAGAGATGAAACAAAGGTTTCAATATTAACTTTAACAAATAGGAATTTAACTTTAATATTCTCTAAATTTAACAGCTGATGGAATTTAGGAATTTTGTTTGTAGAATAATGATTCTACACTCTTTATAAATGTGTTTTGAAATTTTGAAGTTTATAAATTTATTAATTTTGGAATCAGAGATGAAACAAAGGTTTCAATATTAACTTTAACAAATAGGAATTTAACTTTAATATTCTCTAAATTTAACAGCTGATGGAATTTAAGAATTTTGTTTATAAAATAATGATTCTACACTCTTTATAAATGTGTTCTGAAATTTTGAAGTTTATAAATCTATTAGTTTTGGAATCAGGGATGAAATAAAGGTTTCAATAATAACTTTAACAAATAGGAATTTAACTTTAATATTCTCTAGAGAGAACAGCTGATGGAATTTAAGAAGTTTGTTTGTAGAATAATGATTCTACACTCTTTATAAATGTGTTCTGAAATTTTGAAGTTTATAAATCTATTAGTTTTGGAATCAGGGATGAAATAAAGGTTTCAATAATAACTTTAACAAATAGGAATTTAA